TTTTAAAAGTAATAGAGAGTCGGAAAAATCAAATTCGGATATGAGGCTGAATCTATTTTTAATGAATAGATCTGCTCTCAAATCAGTGGCAGAGCCGGCATTGACCCAAAAGCACGAAAGATTGAATAAAATAAAAATAAAATTCACTATCTAACAAAATAACTGAAAATAAAGGAAAAGATGATGAGAAATCCAAAAGCACGAAATATTGAATGAAATAAGAATAAAATCCTAGATCTAACAAAATAACTGAAAAATAAAAGAAAAGATGATGAAAAATCCAAAACCACAAAATATTTAATGAAATAAGAATGAAATCCAAGATCTAACAAAATAACTGAAAAATAAAGGAAAGATGATGATGAGGAAAATATCTGGCCGGGCTAGTTGGCACGGGGCACCCAAGGCTTCGAGGCCTCGCCCGTATCAGAACCACAACTATATACATATGTCATCTGTTGTTCTCTCTTCAAACTTGACCAAACATTGGCTTGGATGAACTAGAGTATTAGTAATCTAGGCTAAAAGTTGGTTTCAAGGTGGGGACTAGGGCTTAAGGTTACTTCTCTAGATCTAGGGTTGCTCTCTGGCTCTCAGATTTCCCGGTCTATGAGTTAACAAAGTCCAACCCTAAATGGGTAATAAAATGTACTTATATAAAGGCTCAAATCATATTAGAATGGTTATATATCAATTTCAAGCAGATTTGTCAGCTAAATTTCCATTTGGGGGTTAAAGTGAGCCCAAATCTAACCAAAATTAACAGTTGCATTTTTGTGATATTGCCTACTAAAAATCAGGTAAAAATAAGTTTTTTTGCTATTTTTACTTGATTTATTACTAAAACAGTAGTCTTGTAGGATTTTGGATCACAGGATAGGGATCACAGACTATGATGGTCTATGGTTCGGGGGTATTTAAGTTGTAGCAAGTGAGAACCGTTTTTATTTATTTATTTATTTCAATAGTGCTTTTATTTGTAATTGGACATTGTAAATGATCTAGCTGGTGAAAAAGCATGAAAATTTTAATTTATATACACCGTGCTTTATCACATAATCCACCTTTCATAACGATGATTCAAATGATCAAAGATCTAATCACCAAATGATGAAAAAATGTTATTGTAATTGAGAATTTACAGCAAATAGAAGCTAAATGAATAAATAAAAATGGAAGAGATTTTACTCAATTGTTGAATGCTTGAAGAGTAGATCATCCATGACTTGAATTTGAACTTTTGATCACCATTAATGGAGTAGTATAGGAGCTTCAATGGAGCTCTCTCTCACCTCAACTTGAAGGTAGCTCTTTAGAGAGAAAATGGAAGAAGAGAATAGGCTTAGGCGTGCCACTCAAAATAGGGGAGAGAGAGGAAGATGTGTGTGGCTCACTTTTAGAGAGAATGTAATTGTAAACTTGTGTGAAATTAAGGCTCAAGGGGGTATTTATAAACTTCTAACCTTTGAGTGTGGAGATGCTTTTAGATTAATGAATCTTGGCCTTCCCTGTCATCTTCTAATAGCTACAAAGAGAGGCTTGATCATAGTCTATATCCACCTTCATGCCATCAAAATGTATGGTAGGGATTTAAACACTTTTATCCTCCTTTAATTCACTCAAATTTCCCTTCTTGTTAAATTACTCATGCTCTTTACATCTAATAAATTCAAAACCAAGATGGAAGGTATACCTTTATGGTAATTTAACAAAATATTCTAGCAAAAATCAAATCTAAAAATTCCATCGGTTTTATATGTGCATGTGGGGCTAATGAGACCATGCTACATAAACTAGGTGGTTAATTGCACATTTACCATATACCTTTAGGGTTAAGCTTGTAATTACAAACCCTATATCCTTTCTAGAATCCTCAATACATGTGCGTAAATACCTAGCTTTAAGCATTAAACATGTGATAAAATTATTTTTTCAAAATTTCAAAATTTCACAAAATACAATAAAATAATTCCCATAACTTACAAGAACGGATAACAATATGACAAGGAGGCCCCATGAGGGGGTTGACATCACCCCATGTCATTCTCCATGTGGGGTGACATGGGACCTCCCAAGCCACCACATTGACACCCATTGACCATTTGGGCATTCCGTGTAATCTTGGGGGTTGTCATTGTTTGTCATTTCTTTCAAATTATTTTGAAAAATGGATTTTCTTGCCCAAAAAATCCAAATAAATTCTTTAAAATCCACAAAAATTGTTTCAATGATTTTTAGTTTGGCATTGTTTAAAAACATTTACAATGGAAACTAAGATCCTTGAAGTTGAATTACTAATCAGAGCACTGAACTCGTTTAGACCCAGAATCTAAAGCCACTTTCTCGTAATGACCCAACAGACTCATGACCCACAGTGTATAATCAGGGGCTCATGATCTCTACCTATCAAAGTCGAACCAATATGCGACTTTGAATTTCTAAGTATAAGTAGATTTTAGGTGCATCTCCTAGAGGACATGCATACATACGGTGTGAGGGTTCCTCTCTTGGCATTTGTGTATAACTCTAACCAGTGAATCCCTAGAAGAACGGCTTCTCATGCATTGCGACTATATATACATATGCAAAGAGAGGGTTCTAAGAGTCAGGGATTTAGATCAATATCCTCTATTGGCCCCAACCTTCCTATATATGGCTCTTTTATCATCGAGCTCATATAAATATATAAATCACTTCGCGCTGGCCCATCACTCAGTCATGAGGCACAAAGATAACAACAGACCTAGACTAAAAGGTAATCCTTATCCCTCTCAGTACCTTCTATTCATATAAATCATCTTCATGATTAAATCAGGGTTCCATGATTCTTGGTCCCAGTGCGCCAAGATTCTAGAGTCATGTCGCTTTTTTATTCCCACTGACGTTAAGAGCTATGAAAATGTTGGAATTTAAGGCCTTAAAAGGATATAATTTCAACATTATTATCTAGACTGTCAATTTTCAAGATTTTCAAGATTTTCAAGTGTTCATGGATCTACTCTATTTACAGTAGTTTTAAATATTTAAATTTTATAATTAAATATGCAAATAAATTTTTAATCCATCACAAAGATTTCTGATATTGAAACAACATATTTCGGCACCATTTGAAAATGTGCCTTACTTTCATTGTTTAGAGCCTCAATCTTATACAAACTAAACCCCTTTTGAAAATGATTGCCTTCTATATTCACATATCAAAGAGTCATGAGAAAGAGGAAAATAAATTTCTCCAATAGAAAAAAGTGCGATTTACATGCCTCTCTAAGAAAAGAGTCCTTCTAGATATAAAGTTTCTCTCACACCAAAAAATTGTCTCTCTAGATAAAAAGTTTCTCTCTTTCCTCTCATAGTTTTCTCTCTAGAACACAAGGAAAAGTAAAACCCCGTCAGCAATTCATGAACTCTTTGATCGTCCATCAAACATTGGGGATTTGCACTCTCTAAATTGTCTTTTTGGTTCTAGTAATTAAAAGTCAATCATTGGATGTAGTTATCATACACTCAACCTCGAACAACCACGCTTACATGGACTAAACTGTTTTTTAATCTATTGGTTAAATTTTGTCGTCAATTGCCTTTTCAGTTTTTTCCTAACCACTATGAGGAAAAACAAGTTATGGATTCCTATACCATTGTTTTTGGTGTATTTCTCTTAGGACAGGAGGCAGAGAACATAAAGGAGAAATGGCCCATCAAAGTTATCTTTTCATTGTGTAGACATAATACTCCAAATGTAAGTCATTTCACATAATCCATCAATTCTAATGATTAAGATGCTTGTAATACTTGAACTTGTTGTTCCCATGCTCCCCAATCAGTGACGTTTCATTCGTATTAGTGATATGATTGTATTTCACTCATGTAATCCATAAAATGAACATCAAATTATTCTAAGTGGAAACTGCCACCAAGGAAAAATGATTTGAAAGGATGGATCAATAAAATTGCTGGGGAAACATTCTTTTGGGCCTTTGACGCGTGTATGAGAGAGAGAGAGGGCATTATCCTCAGCGAAAAATGACAAACTAAAGGATATAAGCACCGAGCAATGCATCAATCAATTATTATCTATTTCGGAAAAAATGTATGTATACGAACCAATCACGATAGTTGCTTAGAAAACCCTCAATTTATCTTGTTCTCGAGATGGATAATATGAAAAATAAAAATAAATAAATAAATCTGAATAACAGTACATCATAACATATTCTATAGAATATATGTTTTTAAGATTTTATAGTATATATCGATGGAAAAGTATAAAACGGAGACTATTTACCTTTAGCACAAGGTAGTTATTATTAATCTTTACCATTAGATGTAAAATTGTGTGGCTACATTTATTCTAATGACTAAGCTCAAACTTTAAAAGACAATTTTTCAAACTTTGTGACACACCCAAGCTATCAAATTTCGTATCGGATGGTTGTAAGTAATTGTGACTCCCTTGTATCAAAAATAAATAGTCTCATTATATACAATCCTTTTATCGATCTACTCAATTTGCAACATTTGAGTGCTTCAAATTTCAAAATAAGGGATAGAAAATATTTTTAGGCCATCAATTTGTAATATTTTAGGACTTTATCGATCTACTCAATTTGCACACTCTAACACTAGGGTTTTGAAAAACTGATCGGTGAAGCAGATCGTGCATCTTGATTTTCGATTAGGTTTGGTAAATCAGCAATCCAGATTTTCAAACGAGTCATTAAAAATTTTAACAAATTGAAAGAATAAAAAAAGGTGTGGCCAATTCTAACCATAGGTGAACTGGCAGGTTCACAGTATTCTAGGGAACCAATTTCTCCCCATAGATTCTCAATCTAAATTGGCCAATTTCGATCCAAATCAACATTTTTTTAAAACCTAGTCTCTAAAACCAAAACCTCATCTTTCCCACACACAAACACAAGTAGAGATATGGAGAGAGAGGGAGAAAGAGCATAATGTCATTATTTCCTACGGCGAAACGCCCAAGGCAAGATGGAAAGTTCTTAAACACACAACACACCAAAATCAATATTATCATCTTTCCTACAAACTGTCATGAAATGCAAAAATCCTACAAGAATGAAACAAGCTAGGAATAACACATCTGCAAACCCACACAAAGAGAGATAGAGAGAGAAAGAGAGAGAGAGAGGCTAAATTATTGATTACTGATATCATAATCCTAGTACTTCATCTGCTAGCTAACATGAAACTAGCATTGATCATTATGCCATGACCATGACAGAGGGCACAGATGCGTAGAGCGACTGGACCTCATAATGGGGGTCGCCATTGAGCAAGGACTTAGCCTCATTGCTTTCATCATCTAAGCCATTCTCATGCATCGCCATGTTTGCCTCATTCGAAGAAATCTTCATCTCTCTAACTTCCACGCAGGTCTCAAGCTCAGGATGTATTTTCTTCTTGAGTGCCCTTGAAATGAGCTGCCTCCATAAACAAAATCACAAATCACAAACTTATATGTTTGTTTATGCTCTGATCTACGCTGATCTCTGGATGAGATCAACTCAAATCTTTGTAAAAGTTAAACATCAAGGCTTATGACATTAGAAAAGTATGTAATTTAGTAAAAAGGGTGTCATTTGTTCAAGGATGCAACCTTAATTGTAGAAATAAAGTTGTGGCGTTCTACATCGTTTATTTTATTTTAACGGTGTAGATTTGACACGACATTTAAATCAATATCAAAGAATGACATGTTTTTTAAGACATTGTTAAATTTACACCATTCAAGTAAAATGAATGGTATAGATTAATACAAGCTTATTTATACAAGTAATGTTGCATCCTTATATAAAGTTTTTGTATAGGGTTATGTTAAGGTACTCACATTCTAGAGTATTTTCTAATTGTATTCGACAAATTTTGGACACTTATATATATCCTTGTTTTGCATATAGAGCATTTTTTAGTAAGGGTATTTTTTGTCACTAGGAGAGATGTGATATCATCCACATAAGATGTGACTTCACCCATATGGAGTATACTAATGGCATTTAATGCTTTATGTGGGTAGTGTCATACCCCTTCTAATGACCAAAAATATCTTTACTAAAAATATATTGTACTATAAAATAAAGGTACATAAGGGTTCAAAATTTATTGAATACTATTATAAAATGTTCTATAGTGTGAGCAGCCTAACAAAATCCTTTTGTATATAAGATACAAATTTAATTGTAGAAGCAAAGATGCAGTATCCTACACCGTCCTTTTTAGTTTAATAGTGTGGATTTGACATTATGCTTACCCCCCCTCTCTCCCTTAAAGCTAACCCTTAAAACAAAATCCATAAGAAAATAGAGAGAGAGACCATAATTCTTGATTGACACTAGTGAGTGAGAGAGAGAGATCACAAATCTAGGGTGTAACTCTCTCACAAAGCTAAAACACAAATGTAGAGCCACTTTGATGGGAGAGAGATCAAAAAACCAAATGGCAAATGAGAGAGAGAGAGAGTGACAAAGAAATGAGCACTTTACTTTGTGTAATTTAGTGCATCGACCGGATTCCTCTCCCTTCCACTTGATGAGCTTCTTAGCAAACGACAAGCCATGCTTAGCACGACTACCCCCTTTCTTCTTACCAGTATGCACCTCTCCTGCACTCTCCTCCTTACTCCCTTGTCCACCACCTCTTACCTGGTCATCCCAAGAGAACAGATCAGCTAAGGTCGTCCTCTCTCTCCCCTCCTTTACCTTTGCCTGCCCATCTTCTCTCTCCAGGCCTACAATTTCAGTTTCAGGGGACCCCATAGACTTCTCGGCTTCAAAAGTGTCCTCAGCCTCTCCCTTCATAACAATCTTACTGTTCAAATCCAACACCTCTGCAATTCCTTCACTTGGTTCGACAACTATAACATCTCCAAGTTCGGAGTTTGGGTCTTGTGGCTCAAACTCTGGCTCCAACTGGTTCACAGGATCGAGGCCAAAAGTGCCGATAGTTAGTATGCCATGGTGCCACCCATTGAGGACTTCTACTAAGCTCCTCTCCTCTGATAATAACTGCTCCTTATCTCCCTCAGGCTCTCCTATATATCCCATTAATCACATGAAGAAAACAGGATCAAAACCCCAAAGTATTAGAAATTGTATTGTAATTTATGGCTTAGGCTATGGTGCAATCCCTTTTCCATGCTGCTAACAAGTATTTAAATCTAAAGTAAGGGGTACCAAGTTGTTTATACTCGAAAATTTTAGCAGAAGTTAGTTGCGGCCTCTGCATGCCGAAATTTTTTAATATAACCACAAGTATCTTTGGATTCTTGAAAATATTGCATTTCTATAACAAGCTATTTTTTGCTTTTGAAATGAGAGCATCTTTAGAATCATGCTTTATAGATGTAAGTTTTATATTATGATAATTTGCTAGATGGTTCAAGATTTTTCTATATATATTTTTTATTTTACTACTTCCCTAAGAATTTGAGGGCCCAATTTTCCAATAATGCTAAATGATTTCTTGCTCCTGCAGGAGCATATTGTCCATTTGCTCCCTCCTGTAAAAGTCAGGAGTATTTTAGTACCTCAAATTTTGGTGATGTAACATATTAAGCCTCTACCTCAAAAAGAAAAAAATTTAAACTGCATGCACACTGTATGAGCCTAAAAGAATAACCTCTCAAGATTGAACATGGACTGTCCAATTTTTGCAGGACAAGACCTAAGAATTGAAGAACTAAAAATCCAATAGTTGGATCAACCAAAGAAATTCTCCCAAGTAGTTCTTTACCCAGAGGGTGTTAGTGTACAATATGCTCCTCTCGGAGCATGCTATAGACTACAATACTATATCTTTTCGATGAAAAATAATTTAAAAATCCCTTGAATAATTATCTTCCTAAGAAATTCTCAACAATAAGCTTTGCTACTGTAGTATAGGACATGTAGAGTCAGCTTAATAGTTACAGCAAGCACAGTGAAACTGGCTACGAAAAAGAGCTAAACATCAGCATAAAATTCTCCATAGATCATCTGTTGCTCCACAAGGAAATCAACCCAACTGAAAAGAAAACAAAAGATGACCTTTTGTATCCTCGACGACACCGCGATCCATATTCTGACGAAATTTCCAATGAACCCAATTGAAGATCTGAAACAAAAAATCAGTCTTCAGAAAGATGAGTACTAGGTGGCTTGACAACAATGCCATGCATTAAAATGCACATCACTATAAGAGAAGCCATCGATGAATGCAAGAGACGAGATTAAACGATGATAAATTGACTGATTCCACATATTAAAACCTATAAATCAATTATACTACCTATGCAGATCGATCAACCGTTAGAAACATCAATTCTAAGCACCACTAGGTTAACATAACACATCAAACCTCAACCAAAATAAGAAAACCCCATGAGCATACCATGTTTACGCTATTTTTTAAGATGATGACTTTACAGATATCAGAACCAAATATAAATCGAACGCAGACAAAGTGCTTACACCATGCACATTGAAGCATCTCACCTTCATTCTTTCTTGAACCTCTTAGAAATGAATTGGGAATTTGCAGAGGGTCGAAACCAGAAACCAATAAGTGCAATAATGAGGGGTCTGGTCACTCGGGGCTAGCTTATCATGGATCCCTTTGAAACTCCGAGAGGCCATGGTGGGACCTTAAGAGGTTGGCTTCTGAAAGGGGGGCCCTTTTGTTCCATGACTGGAAGCTTTCCAGTCTTTGGATGTGGACTCTCTTGTTAGATCCTTGCAGGTGCTTAGCTAGAGTCTAAGAGAAAGAGAAAGATAATGGTTGGTTTTCTTTGTCCTTGTGTTGGACTAGATGCAATATCATGTTCCCCTCATGCTGCAAGGCTCATAGGATTCTGTGAGGCCTTGAAGAGAGAGAGAGAGAGGAAGAACCTAATAAAGTGGAGGGATTTATCCTATATCTTGAGACCTTTAGTTAGGCATTGGAATTTCCAAATGCCCAATGAGATGGAGACCTTAGAAGGAAGACTTGTATTTGGCGTGTGGATTGGAGAGTGGAGCCTTGGATCTTGTGTAGTGGGTTGGGGCCTCATGAAGGGCACTAAATATCTATTGGTTTGGGCATTTTTTTGATATGGGGTGAGTACGTGTAAGGCTGGGGATCTTATCCGTAGATATTTATGCGCATCTAACTATTTCATATACTAATTTAAATCACAGAAACTCGATTTTTTTTTAGGGCAAATATATTATGATTACTATGCTCCCTCAAGAGCATAGTTTACTTCTACTTCCTCAGTCAAAGATTTTCTCAATGAGAAATTTTAAGAACCGTTGATTACTCTCAAAAGAAAAAATTGAAATTTGAGTTTTTCAACACTTAGGTCTCACCATCCAAAACTTGGATGGTTTCTATTCAATCTCGAGACATTATTCTTTTCCAAGTGCATAAATGGTGCAACTAAGTTCTCACCATCTGAAACTTGGATGATTTCTATTCATTCTCAGGACTATTATTGACCTTAATCTATAGGTTGAGGAGGTAGGGTTTTACTCAAGATAGTAAATAAACAATATACCCCTCTGCGAGAGTATAATATCTTTCAGCTTTATTTTGAAAAGCTACGTTGCCATGCCGCAATTATTTTTAACGAAAAGTAGACACCTCAAACACCAACAAAGATGGTTGGATGTTTAGGGCCAGTCAACGAGTGGGGTTCAGCTGGCTAACATGGATTGTAATGGCCTCAAACAGGGTAAGTAAGCCCCTGGCTGGGCCTGAAGATTACTTTTGGGCATGTTCTGAACCTAGCCCAAGCCACGCCCAAGCCCAGAAAATTTTAGGCTAGGATGTAGGGCTGAGAATATTTTAGATCAAGACCGAATCCACTCAAATCTGAATCTGGATCCAAAAGTATATATCGGATCTAGATCCAGATCCAAATCTATATATAGGATTCAGATCTGAATCAAGATCCGGATCTGATACAATTTTATATATTATAAAGTTAAAAGAAAAAGCTGGGATTAGCCCACTAGCTCATGTGAATATTTGAGCCCAACGGCTCAGATTGAATCTGCGCCGATCTGACGGTCACGACCTTATTTCGTGTTTGAATTTTGATTTTTTTTTTCTACAAATCCAAATCACTTGAAATTTTACACTTGTATTCTTCTCATCAAGGCGTGCCTAATAAAAATATAAAAAATATTATTCGCGAAAAAAAAAACCAAATTACCCTCGAAACTTTTCAGGGGTATTTTGGTTAATTTATTTCATGCAAAATATTTTTTTGATATTTTTAGAAGATTCAAATATTTTTTATGAACACATTTATAAAATTTTAAGTGATTTAGATTTGTAGAAAAAAAATTAAAATTCAAACACTATCAGACATCCATAATCGTCAGATCGGCCTAGATTCAATCTGGGCCGTTGGACTCATATGTTCATATGAGCTAGTGGGCTAATCTCAGCTCTTTCCAAAGTTAAAATATAATTATAAAGGTTAAAATATATTTCTCTCTCTCTCTC